CGCTTGTTTACTTTCAAGACTTTAAGTCCCCAGACGCTATAGGTCTCGATAGCCGGGCACCATCAGCCTTCTTCACCACACTTACTTATGCACTCAGTGTGCTTTTCTAAGTAAATACTTTTTCTTTACTAATTCTTTTATTATTTAATAATGTTATGTGTTCTTTAAATTGCTTTGAACAAGCTATATATGCTTTGAACAAGCTATATATGTATATGCAAGAAAGCTCTGCCATATCATATGTTACAATTAAAATTCTGATCTGTTGCTGTTTTATTTTATTAAGGAGGTAATGATTAAAGGTGGGGGACTTAAGCATGTTCCTTGTGTAGAAGATGAGGACTTCATTCAAGCTCTGGATAAAATGATGCTAGAAAATCTTCAGGTATTAAATATTAATCTATTCCAGAGAATCTTCTCAATATATATCATAGAATATTAAAGTCATATTTTACAAGTATATCTATTTTCTACATATCTATTCATTGATAGGATGGTCAGGGCGTAGACATTTCTTAAGATCGTGAATTTTAGAGAGACAAGTAAGAGAATGCATCCAGGTGAAAAATCCATCTAGGTAATGTGGGAGCAATGTGCACAAAGGCCCTGTGGCAGAAAATAACTAGCTTTTGTTTGGAAAACTTAAAAGAAGGTCAAGACTAGTAGAACTTAGTGTGCGAGAGGTAGTGCTGCATGAGAGTGGACACTTGTAACGGGTCACCTTTGGGGGCCTGTTAGGAAAGGACTGACATACTCCACTGTGGAAGTGGTGGGGAGGCTATTAAAGTAATTTAGGTAGTAAATCCAGGATAGTGGCAGGGCACATGGAAAGAAGTCTGGAGTTGACAATTCTAGGCGGTAGAATGAACTGGGTTTCTTTGATGCTTGGTTACATATGGGAATGTGGAGGGAGTCTGTAGATGAGAGTGGGCTTTCTTGCAGAGACCACTCAATTTCTGTGAAAAAGCATGAAGGGCAAGTAAGAACTCGGCTTCGGCCATGTTAAGTTGAGCCTCCTGTGAGGTGTTGAAATGGAAATGTGTAGAGATCAGAAGGTTTCTGGGATAAAAACATAAATTTGCTCGTTATAACATCTGCAAAAAGAAAAAATTACAGGCTACCCGGTGATAGAACAACAAACCAGTGAGCAAAGATGAATGACCCACCTAATTTGTGTGTTTTTTTTAATGAAAGATAAAATAGACGAAATCGGCTCACTAGTAATCAACTGTAGACAAATTAAGATGAATCTTTTTGACTTAGACCAGAAAATACTAAGATTAGAAAGAGACAGTTGCCAGTGAGATGATGTCTGGGCTTTCCATTTGATCTAAAAATTTACCCTTAGTAAGCCTCTCAAGTGTGTTAAATAAACAACAATGTGTCATCATTTTTTACTAGAGACAATGAGACATAGATGCCAATCAATAGGGAATTTGTTGAATAAATAAGACTATATCCATATATAATAGGAGTCCGTGGGTGCTGTGGTTAAGTGTTGAGCTACTACATGCAAGATTGGCAGTTCTAAACCACCAGTTGCTGCTTGGGAGAAAGATGAGGCAGTTTTCTCCGATAAAGCAACACTGTATTGGAAGCCTTATATAGTGTCAGTAGTTGGATTTGACTCAATAGCAGTGGGTTTGGTATATTCATATAATTAGATCAGTTCTGGGAGAGCTTCAAAAAGTTCATGGAAAAATAGAACTAAAAGGTAATGGAATTTTTCCATAAACTTTTTGAAACCCCCTCATACTCACATAGAAAGGTGCCCAAGATAAAAGATTTTAACAGAGAGCATGTATGTTCAGTATAGAACAACAAGAAGAGTGGTTGCCTGTGTTTGTGTTAGTGTAATATAGTGGTTGCATTCACGGGTGGAGCACAGGAAGATAACTGGAGAGATAATTGTACACAATTTGTAATTTTTGTATTTAAGTTTTTATGAAGATAAAATATTAATTTTGTAATCAGGAAACTAAAGATACTTTAAAAACTAGGGTCATCTAACTCAATCCTTGAAAATTTTAAGTAAAAACTCTATAAAAACCTTAACACACTTGGAAAGATGTTAAGTAAATTCTAAGACATTAAAATTTATGAAAGAAAAACAGTAAAATCATGACTTTTTTTACCATTTTTGCTTGATTTGCAAGTGTCTTCTTATAAACACATACATGAGGGAGCTTCAAAATATTTGGAAAAACTATTAATTCCATTTTCCTACTAACTTTGAAACCCCCTCATAAGTATATATGTACCTGTATATATCTTAACAAGTTTGTGGGCTCTTTGACTAAGTATACACTAAATCTTTTATTATTACTGTATCCAAGCCTAAAAGTAAGTCTTGAGGAAGGTTTATTTAATTAATTGGTTAAGTAAATGTTTTTTGTTTTTTTTTAAGTAAATGTTATAATAAGTTCAACCAGAAATGATCTGAACATAATAGGTTTCATCCATTCTCAAATATTTGCAGAGACCTGCTGTGTTTGAAGCACTGCATGAGAACATTGGGAATAGGGAATTGAATGGTGACCTATTAGTCTTGTGGAGAATTCAGCCAGTAAACAGGCAATTATGTTACATTAGGATAACTTTGAAGGAAGACCTACAGTGTAATTTTGAGTATGAAAAAGGATAATGTAGGCTAGTGAAAACGCCCTTGATGGGTTGGTGGTCTGAAATTTAATAGACCCGAAGTATTGGGTATTTGGGAGGGGCTTGGCTTACATATAAACAGGACCCAAATCACATTGGTTTTAAATCAACTCACTGTCGGCAAGTTGATTCTAATTGTGGCAGAGAAGTAACTCTGGTTTCATCTGTCTCATAAAGATTACTTTGATTGTCATGATTATTGTATTTTAAGAAACAACACTGAATGAATTGCTTGACGTTTTTATATACATGCATCTTAGAGCATTTATATAATTTTAAATTTCTGTCTTTAAGCAACGAAGTGGCGAATCTGTTAAAGTACACCAGCTGGATGTTGCTATTCCTTTGCATCTCAAAAGCCAACTGAGGAAAGGGCCACCACTTGGTGGTGGGGAAGGCGAAGCAGAGTCTGCAGACACGATGCCATTTGTCATGCTAACAAGAAAAGGAAATAAACAGCAGGTAAGAAACTGTCAGCTGAAGGGTCACAAATGATTGTGATCAAGTGTAAGTGGTAACTATTTCATACCAAACCAAACTCAGAGCAACCGTACAGGACAGAGTAGAACTGCCCCAGTGGGTCTCTGAGACTGTAAATTTACAGTAGAAAGGCTCATCTGAGTACCTGGTAGGTGCTAAGCTACTGACCTTGTGGTTAGCAGCCTAATGCATAACCCACTATCTCACCAGGGTACCTGTAACTGTTTTTGTAGCTTCAGGTTATCTTTTGTTGTACAAGGAGTAACATTGGAGACTTTTTAAAGTGTTCAGTTTCAGTTTGGTGGAAATGTATTTTTTTATTTAGATAGCTGTTACTATTACGTGCCAATGAGTTGATTTTGAGGAAAAGTGATCCACTGTGACAGAAGAATTGCCAAATAGAGTGAAATCCTTTCAGAAGTAGATGGCCAGGTTTTTCTCAAGTTTAATTATTTGCATCCCTAAGGTTCTATAGATCTGACTGCCACAAAGTAGAATTTTTTTTAATGGAAAGGACATTTAAACCTTTTCATTCATATGTACATATAGATACATTTTTGGTTTTTGCCCTAGAATCTATTCTGAGTCCTGGTGACCCAAGACTGCTTACCCCTCAGCCTTGTGAGGCCTGTCTTCAAAGGCACTTCTGGTGGGTTCAGGCCCCCAGCCTTTCATCAAGTAGTTGAGCACGTAACTGCTTGCAGGAGATGTAGATGATGCTTGTGTGTATGTAAGAATATATAAATACATGGATTTTCCAAATGAAGGGTACTTAACTCAAGATGAAAGGAGGGTGACATCAGATACATCTTGAGAAAATGCTCACATACCAAGATTTCTCTTAAAATCACTGTATTTTAACACCCCAGTCCTTCTTCTCTGTGCTCCTTATGCCCCGCTCCCCTACTTTTCCTCACTTGTGGATGCTGGTAGGAACTCTGGTGGCTTAGTGGGTTGGGTTAAGTATTGGTTGGCTAACTTCAAAGTTGGTAGTTCAAATTCACCACCCACTCTGGATGAAAAATAAGAGTGTCATTACCTATAAACATTTACAGTCCCAGAAAGCCTACACAGAGTCACCATGAGTCATCGTCAACTGATGGCAGGGTTTTTCAGGAATGTAGACATGTATTCAACAAGTATTAGGTTGAACATCATGCTGATAGGATAAAATTCCTGTCCTTGTAGAGCTTACTTACAATCTAGTGAGAGAGACAAACAAAAGGCAAATATTGTGATAGGTGCTATGAAGAAAATAAAGCCCAACTCATAGAAACAAACACTGAACATGTTATCAATGAATACATAATACAGGTTGGGGAAAAATACTATAAAAGAAAATAAAGCAAGAAATAAGGATAGAAAATTATTGTGATAAGAAGAGGTAATGGGAGAGACTCTGCTGTTTTTTAATATACATCTGCCTAAAGTATTCATCTTTGTTTTTGCTTATAAAAGAGATCAAAGCTGTATAGTACATAACTGTTTTGCTAATGATGCAAAGGAATCCTGAGTTACCAACTATGTGTATGCCAGTTAGAATTATGGAATACAATATGAAAAGACAAGAATATAGAATCCTTTGTATTAGTCCAGTTAGACAAGAGAACAAATAGACACTCATGTGTGTAAGAAAGAGCTTTATATAAAAAGCAATTGTATATTAAAACATCCCAGCCCAGTCCAGATCAAGTCCATAAGTCCAATATTAGCCCATATGCCCAGTACTAGTCTGTAAATTCCTCTTTAGACTCACACAGCTTTGCAGTAATGCCGAATGCAGGAAGATCACAGGCAAGTGGGTAGAAAGTCTTGTAGGTCCAGTGGCAGTGGAAGCATCTCAGAACTGGTGTGGGTCTCCATGTGGCTCCTCCAGCTCCAGGGCTCTGGCTCCACCAGTGTGGCTTACCAACAGGAATGTCTTGCAGGGAGGCAAGCAGAGCGTGTATGTGGCCTTTAGTGAGCTATTTATTTCCTTTGTACCTCCAAATGAGATCATCATAATATCTCTATTTCTACTTTAAATGAACTTTGGGCATTGCTGTAACTTTTTCAGACGTTGCCTTAAAATTCCTCTCCCATTCATCAGGTTTTTCCTCTTTCCCAGTATCTGGGTTATTCTCCTTTGATGACATTTTCACCCCTCTCTGCTTTCATGCCAGGGCTGACCTCTTGTCATTTTCCCCTTCCTTATCCTTTCTCCGTGTCTGTGAATCATAAGTCTGTTTTTGGTTTGACCCCAAACTTGTTGTTGGACTGAGATCTTTGTCAAAACTGCCCTCTGTGGAGCACCAGGAACAGTTTTCCACTGTGAGCAGGATTCCCCAGACCTTGAGATTTTGCTTCCCTTTTCTAGAGACTATTTAGTTATCTGAGCTTAGCTATTTCAGTCATCACATTTAAGGTCTCCTACACTCTCTTATCCTTTTAAAGTCTTCTTGGCTTTTCCTGTGTGCCTTACTAAAGAAGTTTTCAAAGGCAAGTAAGCGCCGACATTTTAAGGCATGTATGTGCACATACACAGTAACGATATAACTTATTTTTCTTTATAAAGGAGTGTGCATAAACAACTTGAGCTAGGTCTCGGTTCCGATTCCTGCACAGTACTAGATTGCCTTTAGCATAGTTCTTTTTAACAAAACTTTTTATTGCTCTTACCTCATAAAGGTGAGAGCAAATCATCAGTTGACATTCAACACAATACAAACTTCCTTTCATCGCCTTCATTGCAATCCACTCAGTGTACCATTACTTATCCCACTTCCTCTCCAATCCCAGTCTTTTATAAACTTAGGTCGTTTGTCCTCTGGGAAATGCTGCCCTTATTGACCTTAAAGGGTTGCGTTTTCTAATGGGGTGAGTTCAGTTCTGGAGTCGGGCTTCTGCCACTCTCTGCCCTGTTAGTAAGCCTGGTCTCTCAGGATTTCGAGCTTCGTTCCACATTTTTCTCCCAATCTTTCCAAACCCTTCTACTGTGATCCTTTTCCAGGCAGTTAGTAGCTCTGGTCTTATATGGGTTATCTTGTACACTCAGTTAATACTTAAAGGACGCTTAGGCATTGAAAAGAAAGTAAATAAAACCTACAGTAGCAAAGTTTTTGTGATTTGAAAAAACAATTCAGTTAAGAAGTTCCCAATTCTAAATTGCATTGGCTAATAATTAAACTATTTATATGTTTATGTTTTAGAAGACAGATTTTTGCTCAAAGTTAATAAATGACATTCTCTGTGTCTTAGAGGAGTTTACACAAAGTTTTATATATTTTATACAGATTTACACAAATAAAGAGGTGAAATCCTTATTAAAATGCTCAATTAGTTTAATTTTTAAAGGAATACTTTCTTTTGAATGTTTAAAGTATTAGTAGATATGAAATGAGAGAGTTCATGGCTCACAAAGTAAACTAAACTCATAAACTATATTTGGAATTTTAGAAGATTTTTAATGTTAGGAACATCATTTGAAGAAACACTGGTAGTTTGTGGTCTGAAAAAGAAAGTGTGTTTTGTTCTGATTTTTTTTTTTCCCTGTTTGGATTTTGGGTGTTGGCCCTTACGGTGTAACAGTTTTTCTAGAAATGTGTTGCCTTATAAGACTACTTAATTCTCAAATGGGGAAAAAATTTCTGAAATGAAAGATCTCTTTGTACACTAAGTCTTTGCTCATAAATAGCTTTCTCCTGTAGTCGTTAGGAAAAGGAAATCTTACCAGTAAAGGGAGTAGTTGGAAAGATTAAAAAATCAATCGGTTAATTTTTTTTCCTTCTAGATTTAAACTTTTACAAATTGAAATAACAAAATAATCTAGTGATCATGTACAAACATAATTAATGTTATAGTCTTATTGCATACTTTTTAAATAGAGCTTTATGATTTTCAACAACTGGACAGTACATATAGTTTAAGACTTTTGAACATCCTGTTTTGCAGTTAATATTTTTGAGGATTCATGATTAGTTTTTATGTATGTTTTGTCTGCGGTAACTAATAATTATCTTTCACAACTTGGGTGTTTATTTTTGAGGGGACATCAAAAAGTTTGTGGAAAAATGGAATAGAAAGATAATGAGACTTTTAATGAACTTTTGAAGCCCCCACACCCCAGGAAAGGTTAAAGAGTAACAGTAAAGAACAACCTAATTTAACCTTTGTTGCTGTTAGCCTGTTTCAGGAGATCTAATTCCAGTGACTTTAACCTTTTTGCCATCAGAACTAATATAAGGCAGTACTTCTCTGATGCTGTCTTAGAAGCTGACCAGGGTAACATTGCTTGTCTTGCGTGCTCTGGGTTTATTGCTGTCTCTTTTAAGCACATAATACTTGGGACCGTTACCTTTGGTAAAATGTGTCTCAGAAGTCATAAATGTATTTTTGTGCCTCTTTTATTTCTACTTGCTTTCTTTCCAACACTTAAATGAAGAAATTCTAAACTTGAATATGAAAAGAAAGCCAATCTTTTCATATATTGTAGTAGTTTATTATGACATTTTCTTTATATTGTTTGTACTATTTCATTAGTATGATAATTACGTAATATGTCACTCCTCTTTGTATTTGAATATACTTATAAAAGTTTTAAAACAGGTAGTAAAGCTATTGTCAGGTAAACCAGCCAACTGATAAAGTAAGATTGTAATGTTTGGGTGCGTCATTTATATTTAGAAACTCAGACTTTCATCTTTCTTTACCCCTGCGATCTCAGATAAAGCATCTTACTTGACACCAGGAACAGGGAATGGTTTAAATTGTAGCTATTATCAGAGCCCAATAGATAATATGTGTTTCACCAAAAAAATAATCAGCCTTACCCCAGATACCTATCTGTATAGAAGTTTTCAGATAATAAAGTAATTCCAGTTATTTTTTTTCAAGTAAGTTTATCAACAACCCTATAAAGGTTCCTTGGCTATTGAGTCAGCTCTGGCTCATGGTAAGCATGCGTGGCTCATGGAAATCGGATGAAAAGAAAGTGGACTTTTCCATGCTACCCCCTTGTATATATAACAAACCGGATGTTACTCTATATGAAGTCCATAATCCACGATGTAGGTCTCTGCTTTTGCAGCACCCCCACCCCGCCAAATCATCCAGCCATTGCAGCACTCTCCATGGGGTGGCAGCTACTGTGGAATGCATGACTGTTTTACTAAACATGACATCCTTTTTAGCAATTGGTCTTTCCTGTGACATTTCCAGTCAGTGAGGTGAAATGTTGCCATCCTTGCTTTTAAGAAGCACTCTGATTATATTTCTTCTAGTGGAAGTGTGTTCACTTTTCTGGCAGACAGAGTATGTCTTATATTCTGTGTCAGCATCACATATCAGTTCTTTTTTTGTTGTTGTTGTTGTCCAACTTTCATATGCATAGAAGACAGTTAGTTGTCAGAGTGACAACTTTGCTTTTTACACATTGGGTTCTTTTATTGTCCCCAATTTAGATATGAGAAAACTTCGGACACATAATTAAATACTCCTACAGGGTTATGGTTTGTAAGTATGGGACTAATGTTTAGATCTAGGCACATTGCATGCTCTTAAAAATGCTTTAATAAGCATCAGTAGGAAAAATGCTTTTAAGACTACATCTTTTCTACCCCCTATAGTACTTTCCCCCAAGCCTGCTTGCTTATAAATACTTAAAAGCATGGGTTAAATTAGAAATATGAAAGGACTATTACATTAATATTTTATCAATTATGTAAATTAAATTTTATTTAGCATATCTGTACTTATTAAACAGCTGCCAACCACATTTTACTATTATTCAACTAAGGGAAGATTGGAAAGTAGCCTTGTTTCAAATCCTCATTCTGGAAACCATTCTGATAGTTGTATTTTTTTTTTTTTCCTCAAAAGCTGAATTGTTTCCTTGCTTTCTATCAGTAGTTCACAGCACCTGGATTTGGAAAAACAGGTGCAATAAAATGCTTCCCACTTGAATAATGCTTACAATAAAGAATTTTATTATATATTGCTTTCCATTTTATCACAACACTATTGTTTAGGAAAATTAAATTAATTATGAGACTTTCAGATACTAGAGACATCTATAAAGTCTGGCCAAAAAAATCATTTGAGTTGACTTTCTTATCTACTTTTTTTGTGGTGTTTTCCTAAAATTTTAAAAAGCAATAACAAGATTATTATAGGCATAAATAATTATCTTTATTAAAAGCTTTGTTTCTGATGGTTTGTTAGTGGAAATAAAAACCGGTTAAGTCCTATCCAGATAATTGGGCATAAGGGCATATAGTGAAGTAATTAGGATTTTAATTTTCTGGTTATTTGTTATAAATCTCATTCTGTTAAGGAGATGAATCTTTTAAATTAATTTGTGGCTTCATTTTTTCTGGCAGGTATGCATTAGAATGACTAAAATTTAAAATATTAACCATACTGTATGTTGTCAAGAATATAAAGAATTCTCACACATTACTAATAGGGATGTACAATGGTGGGAATATAAAATGGTGTCACCACTTTGGAAAACAGTTGGACAGTTTCTTAAAAAGTAAGACAGATACCAGCTATTCTGCTTCTAGCATTTTTCATATAAAAGGAAAGAAAAGAAAACATACCTGCATAAAGATTTTTCCTGGGCTTTACAATTCATTGTATTTTTAAGAACCAAAAGCTCCCCCAATAAAATGATTTTCTAAAAAAGAACCAAAAGCTAACAACCCAATGACATCAACAAGTAAGTGTAGTAACAAATTAGGGTGTAGCTATATAATACAGTACTGCGTACCCTTCAGTAAGAGAAACACATCACCAGTCTATACAACAACAGGGATTCATTTAAAATCCTAATGCTAACTAAAATACACTGGTAAAGGAGAGTATACGTTGTTCAATTTATATAATTTTTTAGAAACTACACACTAATCAGTAGTGACAAGACATATTACTGCTTGCCTGACGGATGTGTTTATTTTGATTGTGGTCAGGATTTCTTAAGTGTATAGACCTGTCAAGATCATCAAATTACATATTTTAAATAAGTACGATTTATTATTTGTCATTCATACCTCGAAAAAGTGGGTTTGTTTGTTTTTCAGGATCGTCTTGATCCTGAAAGAGAGTTTCTTCTTAAAGAGAGTTTAAGAAGTCAGTACTGACTCACTCTCTCACACTCACTCACTCTCTCACTCACTCACTCACTCACTTACTCACTCACTCTCATTCACTGACTCTCTCACTCCCTCCCTCACTCACTCAATCAATCAAAAAGGAAGAAAAAAAAGTCAGTACTGTACTGATCACTAAAAGTTGATAAGTTCATTGGGCTACTAGGCTGTTATCGCTAAGTGGAATACCTTAGGTGTTTTTTTATTTTTGCTATAATATAAGTGAGATTTAATTATCAGTGGTAAATAGGAGATATGGTTACTTTAGTTTGTAGATAGTTTCACACTCACACTTACTATTGCCCACTCACACTTAACTATTGTGGCTTGGTGTATTTAGTATTGGGATGCTGACATTTAGTATTGAAGCCTGAAAGGACAGTCTCTCTTTGAGATAATGGCAGAGAATCAGACTCCTGTGAATTAGAATACTCATTCAGTGTTAAGCTTTACCAGTAGTTTGAGTGCAAGTAATCGGTGGGTACAGAGTAAGCAGAGAAATTTCTGGATTCCCGAGGACAGCTTCCAAGTCTTTCCTTTCCATGTTAGGTATCCAGATGAATAAAGACCTCTTATGTGACATGGACAAGTTACCACACAACACGGAAAATTTACATTATAAAACGTCCACTTTTACCTTAGTTACGTAGTTTACAATTTGGAGTCACTATGTGACACTTGACTACTAGCCGAAAGATGAATGACTAGAACTCACCCAGGAGCACCTTGGTCGACAGGCCCGGTGCTCTGCTTCCTAAAGCCTCGCGAGCCCCATGGGGCAGTTCTGCTCTGCGCACGGCTGCCTCCATTCCCTGCTGCTGAAGTTGCTGAGCTTGTCTTTCTTTGTCCAGTATCACAGCTGCCTTCAGCAATGTGAAGGGCTATGAATTTGGAAGATGGACTTAGATTTGTTCCACATATAGTTCAGGTGGGGAAGAAGGGGTTCCAGAGGAAAGAAATGAAAAGGATGGAGATTTCAGTATGAAAGTCTTTCGGTATTGTTCTAATAAAGGATATCATGTACAGGATAAAGGATGGTTCCGTCCTGATGCTGCTGTGGGATAGGTGTTGGGCTGCTAACCAAATGGATGGCAGTTCAAAACCATAAGCCGCTCCACAGGAGAAAGATGAAGCTCTCTGCTTCTGTAAAAATGTATAGTCTTGGGAATCCTCTAGAAAGTGGCAATAAATTAGACTCAGGAGCCCTGGTAATAGAGTGGTTATGTGGTGAATTGCTAGCATCTCAGGAAAAAGACGGGGGTTTCTATTCCTATAAAGAGCTACAGTCTTGGAAACTCACAAGGGCAGTTCTGCCCTGTCCTGTAGGGTTGATGGCAGTGAAGTTGGAGTTTGCTTTTCTGAATCAGAATTGAATTGATGGCGGTGGGTTGGTTTGGGGTTGGGTTGTTAGATTTGTTCTTCCAAATAGATTGTCCTTTACAAATTCAATTTGTTCTACTTGCTCTTTATTTGAAGCCTACCACCCAACCCCTCATTTTCTCAAGTTATTTGTGATTTCTTTTTTTTCCTCTTAGTTTAAGATCCTTAATGTACCCATGTCTTCTCAACTTGCTGCAAATCATTGGAACCAGCAACAGGCAGAACAAGAAGAAAGGATGAGAATGAAAAAGCTCACACTAGATATCAATGAACGGCAAGAACAAGAAGATTATCAAGGTATAAAATGAATTTATAGGACAAAATGGAACTTTTTACATTTTAAATCATTTTATTGGGGGCTTATACAGCTCATCACAATCCATATATACATCCATTGTATCAAGCACATTTGTACATATGTTGCCATCTTTATTTTCAAAACATTTTGTTTCTACTTGAGCCCTTGGTATCTACTCATTTCCCTCCCCTCTCTTTCCCACCTTCCCTCCCTCATGAACCCTAGATAATTTCTAAATTATTATTTTTTCATGTCTTATACTGACCGATGTCTCCCTTCACTTGCTTTTTTGTTCTTTCCCTGGTATCACTACTCTCATTATTGGTCCTGAGGGGTTTATCTGTCTTGGATTCCCTGTCTTTCCAGCTCTTATCTGTACCCATGTACATTCTCTAAGGTAGAATTGGGGTCATGATAGTGGGGGGAGGAAGCATTACAGAACTAGAGGAAAGTTGTATGTTTCATCGGTGCTATACTGCACCCTGAATGGCTCGTCTCTTCCTTGTGACCTTTCCGTAAGGGGATGCAAAGTGGAACTTTCTGAGTTTTAAAAACACAGTGTCAAAGTTGTTATCCTCTCTTTTTTATGTCATGTTTTGTTCATATTTAACCTGAGAAGTGGTTTTTAATCCCATTATATAATTTTACTCTCATTTATTAAAATAATAATAGTAATTGTAATAATATTGATCTAATGCTAACTCCAAGGACCCCTGGTGGTGTAGGGGTTATACATTGGGCTGGTAACCACAGGTCAACAGTTTGAACTTAACAGCAGTGGGTTTTGTTTTTTTTCTTAACTGCTAACACCATAATTCAGTTAGACTTCATATTATTCGCCATGTTTAGACGTAGGAAAGAAATAATCACTTTTTATTGTATCATGAACCTGCCAATTTTGAGTAAATTAATTCAACAAGTACTTCTTGCTTCAGTTGTGTATTTGGAGATACATACTGGTTTCCCCACACAAGATCGCACTGTCAGGTTGATTCTGACTCACCCAAGAGGACAGAGTAGGACTGCCACAGAGGCACCGGGGCGATCAGTCTGTACCGAAACCCATCTTCCACTGAAGTGCAGCTGGTGGGGGTGAACTGCTTGGCCCCCACGTTTATTAACCACTGTGCCAGGCTTCTCTCCTGGTCTCAGACCCAACATTTCTTTAGATTTGGCTGCATACTCAAATTAGGATTTTTGTTTTACGCACACAGTCTTGGGTTGGTTGCCACCTAACGTTTAGAGTCTGAGGCCTCCTCAGAGCCAGCCCTTGGGCATGGTTATTTATGTAGCACTCTACTGAGCCAGCATGCTTTTGTTCATGCAAGAAAATGCACAGATCAGTTTTTCAGATTGCTTAATAATAGTATTTAGCGTTCATTAGAACCCTGGGTTACATGTTGGGCTACTAACCGAGGTTAGCAGTTTGAAATCACCAGCCACTCTGTAAGATAAAGATGATGCTTTCTACTTCCATAAAGAGTTACAGTGTCAGAAACCCACAAGAGGCAGTTCTCCTCTGTCAAGAAGTCACTATGAGTTGGAATTGACTTGATGGCCATTTGAGTATTTAGGGAATATTTAGGGAATACTCAAATAGTTACTATGGGTCAAACATTATTTTGTCTCATGTACCAACTCTGTATAGTATATTCTATTATTAATTAATGGAATCTTTTATTTCCATTTCACATGTAAGGAAAGTGAACCAGAAATCTCATCGCTAATAATGGCAGAGCTGAGGTTTGAACCAATATTACCAAACCTCAAGTGCGCCGCTATTAGTTATTGTGCCTCTTAGGCTGTTCTTACTGCTTCCTGAGCCACATACAGAGTCACCAAATTGCCAGTAAAGGTGAACATAAGGCAATAAAAGAATCTCATCTCTTGACATGCTCTCTGAGTACTTTAAAATTTCGGGTGTTTTTTGTATGTTTGTTTTTCATTCAATCTGTTGATGGAGCTAATAAATGTGATCTCCCCGGTGCCTTATTTGCTTCATAGAAGAATACATCTAGAAGTATTCAATCACCACCACCCCCCTTCTTTTTGTTCCTAATTACAGAAATGCTGCAGTCCCTAGCACAGCGCCCAGCTCCAGCAAACACCAATCGCGAGCGAAGGCCTCGCTACCAACATCCAAAGGGAGCACCTAATGCAGATCTAATCTTTAAGACTGGTGGGAGGTAAGATGCCGATCTTCATCTAGCTCTCCCTTCGCTGTTGTTTCTCTTGGCTTCCGTTTGAGGCATTTAGAGAATTCTGCATTGACTGAAGCATATAGACCAGGCCTAACCAGTAGCAAAATAGAAAAGACTATGAATTGAAAATACTTGGGCCAGAGAAAAACTGGCTGGTTTATTTAAAAAGACATTGGTTTCAGCCATATAGATTCTGGGTTTTATTTACTTCTCAGCTGACTTAATTCTCTTTTGAATTTATAGAGAAGACTAGTTATAGATTATTTTGAGAGGTTACAGGTTTTATTAGGATTTCTTGGGTTAATATTTATCTTTTTCTTTGCAAAACTCAATAAACGCTGTGGTAGACTTTCAGGTGCAGATAAAGTTTATTTTGTGTTTTGTTTGCTTGTGTTTTAAATTCTAGACTTCCCCCCATGGGATCCATGCCAGTTCTTAAACTTAATTTTGAATTGTTTAATGTGAAATTACTAAATTCAGTAATGAATTTCACAGTTAAAATGTTCCTTGCTATCCTCATTCCTCATTTTTTCAAGGAACACAATTATTTTATGTTTGTTGGGACCCGAGTTGAAGATTCATACTATCGATTTAATTGACTTTATCTTGTGGTAGGGTTACAATTACAATCGCCTTTGGCTTCTGCTCCTCAGATTTCACTGAGTGTTTGTGTATAGACTCAGATTATCCAACAGCCTCAAGATGTTACTTCGTTGTTGGATGTGGGGACTGCATAGAAGAGAGTATGAGTGACAGAATTAATTGCTGAGACTGATTTAGGGGAAGTGGACATGTTACTGTATCATTTTACTCACTGAATATACTTGTGTGTTCCCAAGAATGTCTTCTTTGAGCTTTTTGCTCTTAGCTAACGAATCACATTGCAGTTTAAAAAAATGCAATTCTCACATCAATCTGTTCTTTAACATCTCTTGATTGTAGTTATTGTGCAAGGCATAATAAATTATATTAGGTTATTTTTAATTATCTAAGTCTCTTTAAAGTCCTTTTATAAAACCTGTTTTTATTGCTACCAGAATATAGAAACAGGGTTAACAGGCAATGGAAAATGTTAGTCCCCTGCTTTTGCACTTTCTTAAGAGTGCCTTCAAATATGTCTCATGGCGTTCTTGACACAGTACCTGTTTCTTTTAGCCTTGTCACCAGAGATCAAAACTATTACAATGTTTTTCTCATGATGTTTGCCATTGTTTCTTCCGTACTGCAGCTGAACATCTCTGAATACTATTATTTTTATTAATACTAAATCCCTTTTGAATTTAGATATTATGAGTAGGGTATCTTCCTGATTGGTAAATGTTTGGGTAATCAGCCCCTGCTGCTATTTCACTGAAACTGCCTTGCCCAGAGTCCCCAGCTGCCTCCCCATTGCTTTGTGCAGTAGTCTTTGTCGGCTCTATCTCCGCAGCACTTACCATTGTGGACTTTTCTTTTTATTATTGAAGAGGATTTCAAATGGTTTCCATTATCTGTGGCACTGTTACCTTCTTGCTTTTCCTCTTCCCTCTCCTACTTTTGACTGCTTACCTCTTTTGCACTTTGTTTTACCTAATCATATTAGTGTTCCTCAGGGTCAGTTGTAGACTCTCACTACCATCATGTATTTCTCCCATGGCTCCATTGCTATCTGCATCTCCAGCCCAGACCTCACTGTCTAGCTGCCTTCTTGATAATGACCTAGAAGTTTTAGAAATGTAAACCTTGTGTGTTCCCTAGCTCCCAAACCTTTTTCTCCTCTGCACTTGTCTAGCTGATTCAGTGGAAACATTGCCTACTAGTTGCCCAAACTTGCAAAGGATGTTTTGTTTTTACTCCCCTTTCTCCCTCAATTCCCGTAGCTAATTCATTACCAGAATCACTCCATTCTACCACTAAATGTCTCTGACATGTATCCATTTTAGTCCACTCCTGCTGCTCAGACCCTAGATTAGACTCTACTGTCCTCTCTCATTTGGATTACAGCCATCACCCTCGTGATTGACTGTCATCTCTAATTTCAACCCCTTCCGATTTGTTCTATCAGCGATACTTACAGGGACCTTTCCAAAATGCATATCTCATCACTGATTTTGAGTGCTTTTCTGAGTGAAACCCATCAGTAGCTCCGCGTGGCTGGTAGGATGAAGTCCAAACACCTGACTGGGTTAACAAGGCCCTACTGGTGTCATCGCTTGCTGTTCTTTCTCCGATCTCCAAACAGAGGGGCCTTTTAGTTCTAGCCATGTTCTTTGTCAGCCCTTCTTTTCCCTCGTATAACCCTGCTCACCTTCCGGTCTCACCTTACTAGTCTAAAGTCTGACACATTGCTGCCGTGACTCACTGCCCTTCCTGCTGAATTACCTGTTAGCTTGTCTGTAACCCCACAAGATTAAAGATTCTGTAGGAGCAGAGACTAAGCCTTGTTTTCCACTTTACTTTCTTGATAGCTCTTTGTGCTTGGCATATAGTAGACGTTCAGTAAACGTTTGTTGAATGGACAGAGGGGACTTGTGAAAATCTGTATATAGTCATTAAATAAGTGTTTCAAGTTCTGCTCTCTTGGCATTCTGCTCCCTAGGTCTTCCCTCTGGATTTCCCGGTCTTGCGAGAGTTGTGAGTCTTCAGCAAGTCTCTCTTCATGCTTTAAATCTCTCTTTGAAATTATCACCAGAGAGGGCAGGCCCTTGTTTGTTGATCATTTTTAAGAATGACACTAGCAAATTTATAGGAGCCCCTGAATGGTACTCGTAGTTAAGCATTGCACTAAAAGCCAAAAGGTTGGCAGTTCAGGCCCACCCTGAGGCGCCTCAGAAGATAGGCATAGCGATCTGCTCGGGAAAGGTCCTCACAAACCCTATAGACCCGTTCTGCTCGGTGCGCCTGGGGCTCCATGTGTCGGATGAACTCACCGACTGCGTGCGGTTTAAGCGCCAGTGCCCTAAGACGTAGGTGTGCGTGAAAATTGTAGAGCGGTCCAGCTTGGAACACTGGTGTGTGAGCCTTTTGGACTACCACAGGCTCTGCCACTTTGACAAGTGCGGTTTTAAGTGTGGTTCTTCTGAAAGAACGTGGCTGATGCAATGGAAGTTCCTGGTGGTCTGGCTCCTTTTTACTTCCTTGTTTACTTCTGGGGCAGTGAATTCATCAGGTCTCTATCAGGAGACAGTACTAGAGGTTTGAGTGAAATTTATTTGTAAGTTGGTTATTGATACAGTTTGATTCTGCTCCCCTGTGGATTTTAATGCACTTTCAAATATTAACTAGTTTTTAAAACTACTTTCTTATTATTGATCCTTGAAATAAGGTTTTCTAATCATAGAATCCTTGAAAAAGCTCTTCTCATTGGGTGATTATAGTCTAATGAACTATAATGAATTTTAAGTGTTTGGTTAGAATGAGTTAAAATCAGAGTTCCCATCAAACTATTACCTAGGTAAACTATTCTGCAGAACAAGTTGGTTTTCCATACTATGAAATTTAACATCTTTGGTAAGTGTTAGTTCAAATTAGATTTACATTTTGCTGTAAATTCATCTGGCTAGATAACTTAGTACTCCTTAGACTTTATACATGTTAATCATTTTAGACTTATTAAAATGCAGTCACTGATTTATTTCTACGAAGTGTCCGGATGACGCGAGAACCATTGCACATCACACGTTGAGTTGCAAAGAGAGACACTAACAGACCCTTTGAAACCTAGTGTTTTTTATCACGAAATCTCGTGTCCTTATTAGAAGGTTGAATGAGTGGTAATTCGTTATAAATTAGTCCCTCCTAGAAGAGCATATGATTAATACTTTTTGGTCTTTTAAAATTTTACATCTCTCAGAATGACTGCTTGCTTATAAGTAAGTCCAGGGCCACACACTATACTAATGATAGAATCATGTTGTATTATCAAAGATCATGTTTTTTCTCTCATTGGTTGCATTTATTTAAAGTATTGTAATTCAGACAGTTGTTTTGCCTTGACCTCAGGAGAGGTTTCTTGTAGCTTTCTTTCCAAGAATACCTGTGCTATTGACCATTTTTTCCCTATTCTGTTCAATCATAGATATAATTGTTTGTACTTTTCTATGTTTATATTTTGTTCTTTGAGACTTTCTTGCCAATGAAACTTGCCCTCCGACAAAGAAAGAAACCCCGAAGCCTTGGTGTCCCAGAAGTTTCAGCGTAGCTCCAGGGGCCACCCTTCCTCTTCGCTGTCAGGATTGTTCATGGAGTGCTTGTCTGCTGAGGCTCTGTCTGCCTTTCTCTTTGCTGTCAGGATTGTTTTTGTAGTACTTGTCTGCTGTGGTCCTGTCTTGTCCGGTCCAGGGAGGGCATGCTGTGCTTTTAAAAGAGCAGTCATTTGTGTGGAGAAGTCACTGGACAGTGGTTGGTCTATTTTAAGAGCATTTTCTTGCCAGGGGGTTGTCCTGCAGCAGTTAACTTTTGCCTGTTTGTGCCTCCAGGAGACGTTGATCCAGCAGCACGTGTCATTTCATTAGGTCCTGTATCTGATGTTGTGGATAGTGGAGTCCTCCAGCAATTGAATGAGAGCAGTGGACACATCTCAGCATGTCGGTCTAGAGAGTTGCGAATCTAAACCTGGGACAGGCTGGGGCCATGAGGCAGAAACAGCAGCCTCTGCCAACACCGGAACAAGCCGACGCGTCCAGATGTGGCGTAAAAGGCCTTTTGTAATGGAAACCACGTGAGGGTTAATCTTCTCTTGAGAATGGAAGTCAAGAAACGAGATGGTTCCCGTACCTACCGAGCAGTCACACTTAGAAGAGCTGTCAATGAGATGTGCGCCGGAGAAGGAAAGGGTGTAATGGCAATGGTTTGGGGGAAATGAACCTGAGTTTTAAACTTGACTTGAGTTACAGTGTCTCTGAATTGCACATCCCATGTTGGAAGAAGATACACTTGGGGGCTCCAGGACTACAGTAGCAAAATATAGAGCAAGCAGTAAAATCTTCTAGTTCAGACTTACATGCAGGACAACAAAGTGATGAAAGATATCCAAATACCAGCTATTCTACCAGGAAGGTTTTTGTTTTAGGAATCTGTTTCAAGAGGAACAAGGGATGAGGGAGAAAAATCCGTTTTATCCATCAGAGTCAGTAATGTAAAATTGCCTATCAGGGTAAAAGGAAACTGTGAAGACAATTGGTATACGAGGAGCATTCATTCAGATGGCTTAGAAAAGTCTGATACCAGCCTAAGAACAGGGATCTGGTTGAGCCCATTGTAAGTATCATTGAAAACAAAACGTGCCAGTCAGCATGTCACAGAAAATGAACGAAGGACAAGAAGAAGTGGATCAGAATATTTTGTTTGACCTTCATGGGCACACAGCCTCTGTCTCTAAACAAAGTATGGAAACAAGTAGAGCTTTTATTTTGTTTTTTGTTTTGTCCCACCCCCCTCCCCACTAAATAGAAACGAGGGTTCTTAGTCTGTTTCTGACAATCTGTTAATTTATAGAGTAGTTGTCTTTCGTTTGCTTTCTGATAGGCATAGTAAATTTAGTTAACAAGCACATCTGTATGCTACAACTTGATTACATCTTTTTTTCTAGCTATTTTGCTTTTTTTTTCTTTTACCACGTTTTAGTTTCTGCATGTAGAATTAAATGAGAAACAAAATTTGTAAAGTTGTAACATTTCACATGGAAATGCTGCCCGATCTTCACCAGCTTCAGAAATCTGACCTTTGCCGATGCTGCAATAAAGTGTTGTAATTTAGACTTGGTGTGGTTGTCTTTTTACTTGGTCTGGGTTTTGGAAGCATATTAATTGGGCAATTATTAAATCACTATCTTCCAAGGTCATCTTTGTGCTTTATAAAGTATTCTTTAGGACAGTTTCCTTGTCATTTTACTATTAGTATTTCCATCACTCTGACATTGCACATTTGTCGTATTTTCTTAAGTGCCTCCATGTATTACAAGAAGCAGCTTGTGGAGTCCAATGGAATACATACTTTAGAATAAACTGAAAGCTGGTTAAGATGGGAAAAGTTGGCATAGCATGGTTTAGCACTAGGCAGAGTTTGATTTTACCCAGCAGGTGTAGCAAGTGTGATAGAAAGCCTCTGTGAGGGACATGACTCAGAGCCATCACACCGACTGTTCATTGAAGACCTTGTTATCTGACATTTATGACAGTAGTAAAACGTGCTGCATATTCATGAAGTGACTCTAGTAATGAGTGCTGAAGTGCAAGTTCAGAGTAATGCTGGTTATGTGCCAACCCGACTGGGTTGTGGTGTTCAGTCTTGGCAGTTGCGTAATGGTGCGATTCAGCGGTGATAGAATGTAGTCGTTAGCTGTTTCCCTATGATACACATTTTCAAATAATGTCTTTGGAACCTAACTATGCTGATAAGTGAGGAGTTGGTATATTGCTTTTAATTTATCTCCAGGTATTAATTCCAGAACAGCCTTAAGAAATCTAAAAGGAGTAAATTTTTAAAATTCTGATTAGAGTTTTAAAAATGGAAGAGAAATACTTTTTTTAAAACTGTGGTAAAAAATATACACACAAAAATACAATTTGTACATGTGTCATTCTGTTAACAGCAGTTAGCTTATTCAGGTTGTGCAATGATATTGTTCTCCTTTTCCAAGTATATTTCCCACACTACTAACAAAAGATTTTCCCTGTTCTGCACCCTACTTTCCCTGGCAATTACTGTTATAGTAAATAAGCGCAAAATGTGTTTGTTTATGTCATGTCAGTGAGGTCACAGGTGATATTTTTAAGGCTCATGTTGGCGCGTGCATCAGGACTTGGGTTTTCTTTTTGGCTGCCTTAGACAGTAGTCCATTGTATACCATTATACACAATATTTTGTTTTTTCCATTCATCTGTTGATGGACATTTGTGTACAGGTTTCTGTCTGTGTTTCTGCCTTCTCATCTGGCTGTGTTACCTGGGATTGGGATTGCTGGGTCATGTGATATAGTTCAGTGTTCTGAGGAGCTGCTAATTGTCCTCAATGGCAGCATCATTTTACGTTCCCACCCACCAGCAATGCATGAAGGTCCCAGTCTCTCCTGTCTTCACCAACACTTGCGTTTTCTGTTCTTTTGATGCTAATGTTGATGTGTTTCTCATTATGATTTTGATTTGCATCTGTCTATCTGCTAATGACCGGGTATTTTTAATCATCTGCTTGTTGGCCATTTGAAAAAAAAAATGCTGGTTTTTAAAAATAAAAGTCTCAAAACTTCCACTCATTTAGTCTATTATTTAATCTTGCAACTCTTTTTTTCCTTAACAGTTTCATTGGCACATAATTTACATATCATGCAATTGAGTAGTTCAATAATTCAGTCATATCAAAGGGAATTGTACAGTCATCAATCACTACATCTATCTGAGAGCAGCGCCTTCACCTTCAGTCTTTCAACTCTTGACGTCACTGTCATTGCTGCTCTATATGCTAGTAGTAGTTACTTCATTGTTTGGGGAAATGGTTCACTTGATCATTTTATTCCTATTATTTTCAGAATTTAGATTGTTAGGAAAAGCCAGAAGAAAAACCATCACTGTCACCAACTCTATTCGCACTTATAGCAACCCTTTGGGATGGAGCAGAGCTGCCTCCGTGCACTTCGGAGACTAGATGGGGGTAGAAAGGGCCAGACTGCTGACCTGGTTAGCAGCCCAATTCAGAACCCACTACAACATCAAGGGCCCCTTGTAGTTCTACATTCCACATATCAGGCATTAGACAGAATATTGGATATACCCTGCTGTCAAATTAACCGTCATGTCACTTTTCATCTTTGATTTAGCGCGCTGCATTACATTTGGGAAACCAATGGAGGAACACAGATCTTTGCAATATTGGTACTTGATTGAGTTAAATCACTGATAACAAAGATAGGTGTTTTGTGGCCCCAAACCTAGCAATATATAAAATAGCAGTATATAAAATAGGTTCTGTGTATCAAGAAGCTTCCTTAAAGGATGGGGAAAACCATCTTGAGGTTTGAGAAATGGAATCTTTAAAACATTCTTTTAGATCTCTTGTGGTTTTTTGATAGTAAGCAGAGGTTAATAAACCTAGCTGTCAAAAATGCCTCAGATTCTTTAACTCCTTTT